AAAAATTCACTCATTGACATGACGATTTCATCAGGCTTCAGGTCAGAATCACTCAGCATCGTCTGGATGAAGTGAGGCGATCCCTCATGACTTGCCTCCGAGCTATTCCTCAGTCGGCCGATGGCACGCTCTACTTCTTGCCTCGACACACTGGTTCAAGAACAGAAGCATGGAACATAGGAAGCAGGGCTGTTGTTGTTGCTGTTGCTGTTGATGAGGATGATGATGATGATGATGATGATGATGATGATGATGATGATGATGATGATGATTGAATAGGTAGGATAAGAAAGCGAATGTTAATTCTGTGATCTCTAAAAAGGGTTTCCGTAAGTTCATTTGTCCTGAGCTTCTGAAGAACTTAGATGTCTACATATATTTAAAATAACGCGGTACAAATCGGAAATCCCTCCTTATATTCAGATCGTACCGAATTGAAAGGGATGTTAGAATCATACCATATAAATCTGGATACAGAGAATAATTTATTTTCGTAAATATTTTACGGCGCTCGCAACTGCATAAGGTCATATGAGCGCGCGGGCACACCGAACAGTTTCAATTGATAGGAAATTTTGAATTTTGCTCGGGTGGCGACCGAAGCCTACACATATCGATTTTGGACCTTTGACGTGCGCAACTTGCAAACGGAACCTCCGAGATTTTTCACCCTAGTCCGAGAAGGCAAGGTGTAGATCTTTCCTACCAGACGATCAGGGGTGTGGCTGAAAGACAGCAGCAAGAAGGAGCCAAGGAGTAGCAGTAGAAAGGCTGCAGAAAGAGTCCGGAGCCCAGTGAAGGGGGCAAAGGAGGTGAGGGGGTGGGGGTAGAAAGTGGACACGAAAGCAGACGATAGAATCTTGCAAGAGAGAATGAAAGGGGGTGAAAGGAGACAATTTTAGAGAAGAAAGTGTTTCCGCCCCAACCCAGATTCGAACTCGGGACCATTGAATGAGAGGCGAACACCTAAACCTCTAGGCCACGAGAGCCCCCCAATTACAGAGAATGTGTTGTGTTTCCATTGGCAAGACTATGACGTTGGTTCGTATATTCTCTTTGCTCATCGCGGTTTACGCATTTTAGAAACCTATAATATTTGAAAATTTCTTTTGTTTAAATAAGAGTTTTATAGAATTTGCAACCCGATAGGGTCATATATGTGAACAAGATTAAAAGTGTTACAAGAGAGCGACATGTACAAAAGAGAAGGATGAGAGACAAGGACGACAGACGTCTGATAGAAAAGAAGGAGCAAAACATACCAGAGCACCGCGACCACACATATTTGAGAAATAAGACTCAATCCGTATTTGTCGGAGACCGACATGATTCCCCCTGAATAACCCACTACTTTTACTTTTTACTTTTTACTTTTTCTGGTATCCTTAGGATGTCGAAGGGAGGTGCAAGTTTCTGTCCTGTGCTAGGTGTGTAGAGTCTGTGATAGATACTCTATGTTGTTCCAGGACCTTTTTAACCCAATCCAGAAAGGTCTTTCTTTGTCTTCCTCTTGATTTAAAGCTGGATTCTCGGGGGTTGTAAGCTCTAGCCGCTAGTTGTTTCTGGGGCATTCTGGTTAGATGTCCAAACCATTTGACACTTTGACGTTCTATGAATTGTATTACTGGTGGTATTCCAGTTTGTAGACGTATGGTTTCGTTTCTTAAGCGGTCTCTTTTGGTGACGTTGATGGTTTTGCAGAGACACCTCATTTCGCAAGCCTTGATTTTTCTTTCTTGTGCCTGGTTTAGAGACCATGTTTGTCACTGGCATGTTAATGTTGGTATGAAGATGCTGTTGATGAGCTGGAATTTCACTTCAGTGGGGATGTTCTTGTGGCTAAGCAGGGGTGCTAGCTGGTAGGTCACTGCATTTGCCTTCATAGTTCTTGTTTCTATTTCTTTGTCCATACTACGCCCATCTTGTGTGAAGATGCTTCCCAAATATTTAAATTCCTCTACTTGTTGGAGCTGTGTTCCATCAATAAGAATGTTGAGTTTCCCTGGGTTTCTGCTGACCTTCGTAACTCCCGTTTTTTGAGATAGAGATTTTCATGTTCATGTGTGTTTTTCTCATTCCTCTTCATTTGTATTTCATCATCATCATCCAGTGCCAGATCTGCGACAGACATCGGCGATCATGGTTTTCCGTTCATTCCTTTGCTCGGATGCTCTCAAAAAAGCTACGTTTCCCTGATCTTTCCCTGTTACCCATTTGTTTAGGTTCCCTAAGTATGTTGTTCTGGGCCTATCCTGGCCTCGCTAGTCCTCAATTTCATTTGTATTTAATAATATTAAATATTATACTCTGGTCATCAGCAAATAGAAGCTCGTTCATTTCAGTGATATTGTCATTTGCTGCGTTCGTGATCTTTTCCATGTATGTGATGAAGAGAAGCGGAGAGAGAACACACCTTTGGTTCACCCGAGACTTGATGGGAAACCATACCGATTGTCCTTCAGTTGATCTTACGGCACACAGGCTGTTTTTATAAAGAGCCATAATGTTCTCCAGCAATTGTCCTCTTACACCATATTCCTCTAAGACTTCCCTAAGTTGACATCTATCTACCCTCACGACGGATTAATACGGTGTGAAAAACTCAAACGTAAAATTGGATGCTGTCTTGTAAACTTGTTAACATGACATTGAACAGAAAAAAGAATGTCCGCTCTTAGGTAATGTTTAATAACCTTAGTGGTAACTAAATCATTAGTCTTTTTGCCCCTTGTATTAACAACAGAAAGTGCATAGATAGTGCGAAGATAACACACATAAGCGGTTCGTATGCAGCTGCTTCGTGAATCCTCCCACAGATACCCTATCTATAGTTTTAAAAAACGGAACCAACCAATGATACTTTGGCTAAAAGCAAACCTCTTGACGTCGTCTGCAACAAAAGATATGTTAAATTTAATTTTTAGAACCAAAAGACACAACAGAAGACGTTTATTTTTATCGTTATTTTTTAGAACCAAAAGACATAATAAATAACACGTTATTGCTGTTGTTGTTTTTTTACCTAAAGACACAACAAAAGCTATTCTATTTTTATTTTTTTAATCAAAAGACACTCCAAAAGACGCTGTCATTTTAATTTCTTTTTTTCTTTTTTTATCGAGGGCGTTCTTTTACCTTGTCACCCTTAGCATAATTAGTACAAATATTTAGGGAAATCGAGTGGCAGCTCCTGCTTACCAGCATTATTTTCTTATTAACCCTTTTTTAAGCTTTCAACGAAGGCACTTGGTTCTGACTTTGGTAAAATCATAATGTGAAGTGAAAATAGGTTGTTCATGTGAGGTAATATCGTGCGTGAAATAGAGAAAGCAAACAGAACACATAAGAAACTCAACGATGGACTGCAATACCAATGACACGAATTTAGCAAGCTGAGCCAGACTAGCGAGAGTACGACAAAAAAAGAGAGCAACTTCTGTTACAGTAAACTCGTTTATAAAGATAATGGAAAAAAATGTAGGTGGGGGGGGGGGATAACTTTTTGGGAAACTTCCTCGATAAATCCTCGTAACTAAGGCCAGGACAGGAGTTTTTGGCACAGTTTTCGTCGTTCTTTAAAGCTACTAACTCACCCAATCAAAAAATCCAGATTTTCTTCCACAATCTTGTATGGCTTTGTTTTCCAAAGTCTGTGAAGTGGCAATAGAGGAGGGGCGCCAAGGATGGAGAAGAGCTGCTTCACCCTGATCAAAATATCGTTCGATTTATCAGCGGTCATGGGAAGAGCTCCAATCCGGCGACTGAAGCAAAACTGACGGAGAGCTGTGGATTGACGAACAGAATTGTGTTGTTGGTGCTGCTGCAGCTGTTGCTGCCAGTGGTGGGGGGGTTGTTACTATTGTTGCTGTTCTTGTCGTTGTTGTTATTGACATTGATGTTGCTGTTTTTGTTGTTGTTGTTGATGATGATGATGATGATGATGAAGTTTTCTTCAATTTAGCCTTCAATTTTCACTGGTCTTCCCGATTTGTTTTTATCGCACCTTTTGACATTATGACGTGTGTGCACGCACTTTTGTTTCTATAGCTTGTAGCAAAGATAGTACATAACAAGATAGGCCACTTCTCTCTTTGAGCCAATTAAAAAAGTGTCCTCAAAATTTGGTGGCGCCCTCTTCACAAAAGCGCACTCTTTGCGAACAGAGTTACTCTACTTGAGTTATAAAAATTCAAAGTGAAACTAGCAAGTTTTGGGATAAATTTCGGAAGAACGCTTTTTCAAAATGGTTACCCTGACAAAAAAACTCTTCCGAAGGAAAGGGTGATGGTTTTCTTCGTTTAATTTGGCTTTAGAATGAAAGGCGAGAGGTCATTAAAATATAAAAAAAAACTAGAACTCCACACTGAACGTACCCGAACTGCTGATGAACAGCAGTCGATCTGCGCACGCAAGGAGGTGCTATTCCTATTCTTCTTCTGGAAAAACGAAAGAGAGCTTCAAAACAGACTGCAGCGCCATCTGAAGCAAAGAGCATACTTCCTGCGGACACTTTTTTGGCTGAGTGGCCCATCTTGTTATTTACTATCTTTGCTTGTAGTCAATAGATTTTCCCTTATATTTTTGTACATGTTCCTGAAGAAGCCCTTTACCGGGCAAAACGTCGAACTTATTAAATTTGAAAAGTCTAGTAAGTCTCAAAACCCTTTTTTTAATGATGATGATGATGATGATGATGATGATGATGATGATGATGATGATGATGATGATGATGATGATGATGATGATGATGATGATTTCTCCTTTTCCTACCTCTTCAGATTGCAAGAAATTAATCATTTTACATTACTTTTCCCTTTAGCATTTAGACACTACGCACATCATAACTGTTTCTTTAGGGAGTGTGTTACAGGTGTTGTCTCAGGGTTTACACAGAAAAGTTAAGGCCAGTGTCGACGTGTCATGACTACTACAATGAGGGGATTCAGACACCTTGAACGAGGTATAATGAAGGAACAAATAAATTATCTACAAATCATACATTTACCTATATTCCACATTACATAAAACCAGCCAAGATCAACCATGTCAAGTCACTCAAAATCGAATGAGAAGTCAGGTGCAGACAAAGTTCTCCAAGAATACGCCGTTAGGAAGTCTTCAATCATTCAGGATCGCAATTTGATCCATCTTAAGCTGGCAAATTAATCAGACCTGCTTGCGGTGACGCGACGACCTTTAATTACTTTCAACAAGTTATGCACGTTCTTGCTGCTTCCGGCGTATTTGTTCATATATACTTCAAATTACTATTAACACCCACTCTTCCGTCACCACAGACGATTGTTTTTGAGCGAAATGGGTTTTCATGTTTTGTATAACGGCGCATATAGCAGCTTAGTAAATGCGTGCCTGAAATGTGGGTTCAGTGAGTACAGTGGAGTAAGTCGCGGAGGAAGAATGCATCAACTCATATAAGAGCAGTAGAAGAGTAAAACGGTGACTTCCATTCTCGTAATGTTGCGGTATTTTTCCCCTGTGTTGATCTTTATTTGTAACCCCCTGACTCGATTGTGCGTTACGCCCCTGCTTCTTGTTCATTTTGAGACTGGTCTTGACTTCTCTTTTCAATCGGCCGCAATTTTCTCTCGGCCTTTCCCAGCTTCTATAGCTAATCCTTCTTGCAGTCATATATCTTCCGCTGGCATCTTTGCATTTAAGTTTCTATTGACATTGTCTCTCCTTCCATTCTTCACTTCTCCGAAGAACTGGTCTGTTGGTAATTCTCTCATCTTCCATACGACAAAGATATCCTAACCATCTGAATCTGTGATGAAAAAGAAGTGAAAATACTATGTGAACTCTAGATCTTCACTGGACTACTTAACTGTGCTGTTGTCTTTGCTTCTCTTGTTATGCCATAAATCTGACTTGTTTACTTGTTTACTTATGTGAAGGACCAACATCACTGCACAAGGGGCATTCCCATAAGCGCTCCGTCCCCTGAAGAAGCACATCTCGAAGTTGTAGATGCTGACGGTTCCAAGTAATGGTTGATTCCATATCCTTCTGCTCCTCCCACTCAGTCTTGAACTTCTGCAGGCGCCCCTTCAAGCTCACAAAGTCGCTCAAGATGAGGGTATTCCGTCTCTTCTTGTTCTTTTTCTCTTTTTTCCTTGACTGACCGTACAATTTCATGTTCGTCAGGGCGTCCAAAGTAAGTGAAAGCTGTTGAGATTTTTTTCCAGACACGAGCCGGCTGTCCAAGTTTTTTGCACTGTGCATTATCATTTTGATGTTGATGTTGAGATTACTGTAGTCTCAAACTTTATAGTTTTCAAGGGATCGTGGACTCTGCAAATTCTGATGAGTATTAACGATTGTATCCATTAGTCTCGAAAGACGATAATAGATGGTGACTAACGTTAGTGTCATTTAGTCTCAATTTACTTCTCCTGGAGGGGTTAGGAAGTCTGACCCAGCGGCAGTAATGTCTGCTACACTGGTTTTAGGCGAAGAGGATGGTGTTGTGTGCCATGTTGCCCGATACTTCAGTCTGACTTGCTTTCCCTCTTACTGTACGAGTCTCACTATCTCTGCTTGCCGTGATCCATGATCAGATCCTGGTCCATTCATTGGGTCGATGTCGAGCAGCTCACATTTTCTCTCACACACGCCTCTGAGTCGCAGGTTTGGTCGCCCGACTGATAGAGCACCCTCGGCGAGTGTCATACAAGTCCTTTTGAAATGAGACGGAGGTCCATCCAATGGTCATAGATAGCCGTCTGAGGTGAATCTGACAGAGAACATCTTCGCTGTGGTAAGTGGTCTGAGTCCAAATTTTGAGGAAGTTCGATTTTTACAAGGGGATACCTGTAGGCTTCAGCACCAGTGTCCTGTCCAAGGACGGGCGCGGTATGTCTTCAGTCTCAAAGACTGAAGCTAGAGATCCTCGTCTCTGTAGGGGATAGGTGGACGCACAGCTAAATGTTCTGCAACAGGGATGGTTGTTGTTCCTGGTTCTTTTGTCCAGCCAGGTCACAACAGCAGCAGCATTACATTCCAAGGAACAGTGAGCTGGCAACAGTCGGACCGAGGTAACTGAAGGTGTCCACAACATTGAGAGGGAGACATCGATTGAGATTATGGAAGTGGGAGGAACAGCGTCCTGCGTCACTATCTGTCTAGTTGAGACTGGGGGGGCGGGGAGGAGTCAGATAAACTACTCTAAAGCGTGCAACAGGCTGTATCTGAGTGCCAAGATTTGATATCAGTATCAGTGCATACCATCTAAAAAATTATAACATTTCTAACCCTCGTCTGAGAGAGGAACCGCTGTCCGTTCTGTAGTGTAGACTCATTCAGTGCTCTCCCTGGCTGCAAACTAAAAGAGCACCAAAAAGATCATTTCAAAGTGAACAGGCGCCAGGATTCTTGGTTTCCCCGGAGTAGTCACAGGAAATGCATTTGAGGATGTACCGCTGAAGAGGTTTAATGTGCATACTATACTACCTACATCACAGAAGGTGCTGATGACCAGCAACAGTAGTTTGGAGGGAGGGATGGGGGGGGCAAGGGGTAAAGTAGCCTATATGCTGCAGTGACTGGAAAATAGTATTTTGCCTAACCAATCCAAAGGCCTTCGTAAACAAGCCAATTTTCCACAATATATCGCGTACCTTCAACAACGTATCGAAAAATCACGTCGTTCAGCTCAGTGTAAGCACCAGTTTCAATGCAGGCCGCCAAATCGTCTGCAACAAGATTCATTGACGAGACATACGGGTCTGTTGCTGATGGCCGCATGAACTTTGGTTGCACGCGCATGCGCAGATGCCTCCATTCTTCGCCGTTCCTGTATGATGGGGCCGGGGAAGGGGGGGGGTGCAGTGAAAGGGGTAAAGGATTGAGTGAACTCTGTTCTGTGATTCCCTAGCAACAGCACCCTATAAGTTGTTCTATCTTTGATATTCATGCCTTCCTCTTCGGAAAATGCACGCATATTATAATAGAGGCACTGTCGCACCCAGTTCTGTGACAACGATGTCAGATCATCTCTTTCTGCATGTAGCCTAAACAAGCTTCACTGTAATCATGAAATGGGGGTGGGGGGTGGTATAATACAAAAGCAAATTAAAAAGAGCATAGCCTGTTCGAAGTTGCAGAACCTCATTAACCATGAATAACTATAAGAAACATCTTTTCTTTTCTCCATGCACCCCCCCAAATCGCCCTCTCTAGTCTAGTCTCTGCTGTTACAAAGTGGAGTTTCTGAAGAGATCGAAAGTTTTGAGCAGTCCCTGCCACTGAGATATAATCCCATGGGCTTAACAGGTAACCTAGACCGTGGACGCCTCTGCCAACGTCGAACAAGTAATGCCCTATCTTGAAAGGCGTAAAGAATCTGACACTCACAAATTGACTTTCTGCAAGCGTCCGATGTCCGAAAGGGAAAAAAAACCGCTGGTGATGATCTGAACCGCACGTCTGTCAGACCACAGACGAAAGACAGGACATCCTTTATTTTTACTTTATTGGGGAAAATTTATGCAGAGCAATACGTTTACGCGTGGTTAGGACAAACCATAACAGCTGTTGGACGCACTGCAGACAGAGGTGGGAAGAAGTGGGGGAGGGGGGAGAGAAATATTCAGGGTGCACAGCCAGACAGTAGTCTCATTTCAATCTGTCCCCGTGGTTTTATGCACCCCGCATAATTCAGCAAAATTTGATCATTTTTTGCATAATTTATGATTATTTTCCTTTATCACTCTTAGTTAAAACAACACAGAATCGCATAATTTCACATTTTTTGGTCTTAGTTTGAATAATTTCAGAATTTTTCTTGAATAAAACGACAGGAACAGTATAATTTCCAAACATCAATTTGACAACTTCAAAACAATGGGAGGGGGTTAATCATTTCGTGCAAAGTAATAAAAGTTGGAATTACCCTGTAGTGGCCGAGTGGTTAGTGAATTCGGACTCACAAAAAAATCAAGCAAGTATAGTGATACAGGGTTTAGATGGGTGTGTCCATGGGCAAGACATGATAACAATAGTTCAAAATACAGGGCGCTTCACAACGGCGGTCAGCAATGACATGTTCGCACACTGCATTGATTTAATATTGTATATTTGATATATTCTTTTAATGTATTTCTGTGTTTAAATATATATTTCTGTACATGTAACGAAGCAACAGCAAAGAGCATCAAAGGTTTTTGGGGAGTGTCAGATAGAGTCATCGTGGCTAAATTAGAGGGAAAACCATTTGACATAGGTGTCATCCAAATATACGCACCAACATCAGAGCACGACAACGAGGAAATTGAGACTTTTTATGAAGACCTTGATAAGGCAATGAAACAGTTAAAATCACAAGATCTAAAGATAGTCATGG